TGGCAAACTTGTAAATCGAATTAGCAACAACAAAAGCATCTACGTCTAAGTTCGTAAATTGTATGGCAAAGGAAACACAAAATTATTATAAATAAATAAATGCAAAGAAGTGGGGAACTTTAAGTAAGTGAGAAACGAAAACTGTAACTAAATCTAGACTTATTTGTTAGTTTTTAAACATTTCCGAAATGCATGATAAAATGAGGGAGACAACAAATCCGGCAGCGGGAAGCGGCAAGAGAGAGAAATGCGAAATGTACCAAGGATGTTTATAAGCTGTTTCGTAAAACAACTAATGTATTTTCAATAATATTTAACTAATATTAATAATAAACAGTGCATAAGTAATTTTAGTAACTATAGAAAATGTTTAAATGAAATTACAAACGAAAATAAAACCACAAAAAAACAACACACAAAATAACATTAAAATAAAGGTGTTTTATTTTTAAATGGTGTAAATAATCTTAAGGTGGTATATGATTTCGATTAATGCAAATCAAAATGGGAGCACAAGTACAAAAATACCATTTGAAATATTTTGTTTTAAATATAATCAAAAATGCTTTTATTTCTCCATTTCTTGGTCATTTTTTGTTGCCCATTTTATTTTAATTTTGAATAACCGTTACTCCGATCTAAAAATGTGAATTAGCTAATACTCGAACCGGATATCGATCTAAAAACCTGGTTAGTACCTCGGCTGTGGCTACGAACTTTACTAGACATATTTAGCGTTTAATGGTATATTTTAGCACATTTTAAATAGCTTATAAGACGTTATTTTTAAATATTCGAACAACGGTCACACTGGCTGCCAGCTGAAAAATTATTTATTTTCTTTAAAGAATATTTTTCAATTAAAAATCGTTCAAAATGTCTATTGCCAAGCGTGTGCAGGTAAGTAATGTTACCAACTTTAATCTGCAATCGTTAATCATTTAATCTTCCCCTCAATTTAGCAATGGGCAACATTCGCACGCACTTGGCACATTTACGATTGCACTTGGCAGAATCCCTTCGAGTCCGCTAAATTGGTCAAAACCCATTTAATGGGCCTGCAAAAGCCCATATATCATCCAATGAGTACGTATTATCTATTGATTTAGTTATTTGTTTAGATTAAATTCGATAAGAATGTTAAAATCGCGATTTTATGAACGCATTTCTTGTGTCATTACATCACCGGCGTGTTTTCTTAGTTGTTGCTGTTGCCAGTAAAAATGAAAACAAATTAATGTGATATTTGAAATTGGTAATTATTTGATCATTCAGTTGCGATTAAAATAATAGAAGTTACACCTTAATAAAAGGAAAAACATAGAACTATAGTTTTTATCTGATATCCAGCATGTTTTAGTACATCTTAAACTATTTCGAAAAAAATAAGAACTTTTTTGAAGTTTAATACCTTTTCTATAATAGTAATTTATTATTTATTCCTTAACAAAACCGACACTCTTATTTTAACTGCAACTGAACTACCATTTAGTCTAACAACCTTTCTGACCGGCGATTATTGTTCTTTTAGGCTAAGCAAGTTATCCTCCATGGTGATCCAATTAAAACCCGTAAATGCAATTTTCCAGATGACTGCGGTGACCATGTGGTGCTGATCAACACGCGGGAGATCGCTCTGCCCGGAGACGAGTGGGTTAAGAGGGTTTACTTCCACCACACCGGATATCCTGGAGGAGCCTCATGGACCCTGGCGTGGCAGCTGCACGAAAAGGATCCCACGATGGTGATGAAGAAGGCTGTCTACAACTCAATGCACGGAAATCTGCAGCGCAGACACACCATGCAAAGATTGCATTTATTCGCCGACGATCAAGTTCCCGAGGAAATCCTGCAGAATGTCACGAATCAGATCCGCACACCGCGCTCAATTCCCCAGCGATTGGATCACATCGACAAGGAAACGCTGGAGAACTTCCCCAACATTATGGATTATCCCAAGGATTACATTTTGCGTTGATTTGTTGTTTAAAAATCATTGTAATTAAGATATATATAAAATCCAAAAAAAAGCTATTGTTCTTTTATTGTTTTATATAACTACAAAATCAGAGATCTTCAATTTTTTAATATCTATTATGTTTATTAATTTTCCACGGTATCAACTAGGCGACTTCACCCCCTAAAAACATAACCTTTTTTTGGGTTGGCAATACTTTGCAAAAAGAGATGCCAGGTTTTTAAATGTCAAGTTAATTTTTGTAGACTATATTATTTCCACAAAAAGAAAATAATTCACGGGAAATCTTATAGCACTACACTTAATATATTTTAAAGGCCGGTTTTTCCAACCTTTTTGATTTGTTTCATAAAAACCTGTTATTTATATTATTTTGAAACTCTTGACAACCCTTATATTTACCGGCTGTGTGGCAGTGAATTGCAATTTACTCATCTCATTCGTATTGCTTCATTTTGCATCCATCTCGGGCGAGGACGCCCACGACTCAAATATACTACATAGAAAGTGCGGTCATCACTGAACGGAATTATCTGAAACCACCAACTGCTGGTACAACCACAGCTTTTGGCTTATCGGTGGCCGATTTTTATTGTCTTTAACGATAAGCATTATCGCAGAAAGTAAAGTATTTAAACATATATGTCTCCCATTGTTTTTCAGTCTCCACTCGCAGCTTGTGCACTTCACACAAACTCATCCCGATTTACCAGATACAGAAACGCAATATGGGTCGCTTGGGAAACGTTGATCCTAGTTCATACTCGCAACCGGATTTGATCACCACGGAGCACAGTGTTCTCAACTGGAAAGTCGATTTTGGGGCTACCAAACTTCAAGGAAGTGTGCTTCATCGATTCAAAGTTCTGACTGCTAATCTCGATAAGATTGTGAGTATTATAAATCTTTATATTAAAAGGATTTGTATAAGAACAGTACTAGAAATGATTCCGAGGAAAAAGTTGAAACATAACACAGAAAAAAACTTATACATATCTTTCCTATGTAAGACTGCAAAATTGACATGCTTATAATGTTTTACTATCCATTTGTATTTGTAGCTCCTGGATGTTCGTGATATTAATGTAACCAATGCCACGTTGTTAGCCGGAGGCAGTGAACTACCGATCAACTATTTTATAAGCGATGCCATCGATGATATTGGTCAGAAGCTAACGCTGGAGTTGCCTTCTGGAACGGCTAAGGGCAGGTAAAACGACAGCGATGGATAATCTAATCTATATGGGACTCATAAATAATCTGGTATACTTCACTCCCCATGTAGCCTCAATGTTCGCATCGATTACGAGACGTCGAGCAGCGCCAGTGGACTGCAGTGGCTGAATCCCACCCAGACTTTGGGCAAGGAGCACCCCTATATGTTCTCCCAGTGCCAAGCGATCCATGCCCGCTCGGTGATTCCCTGCCAGGATACTCCGGCAGTTAAGTTTACCTACGATGCCACAGTGGAGCATCCCAGTGAGCTGACTGCTCTGATGAGCGCTCTCATCGACAAGAAGGAGGCTGGAAAGACGCACTTCAAGCAGGAGGTTCCCATTCCCGCTTATTTGGTGGCCATTGCTATTGGCAAGTTAGTTTCACGCCCGCTGGGAGAAAACTCAAATGTCTGGGCAGAGGAGGCCATTGTGGATGCCTGTGCCGAGGAATTTTCCGAAACAGCCACCATGCTGAAGACTGCCTCGGATTTGTGCGGTCCATATGTCTGGAAGCAGTACGATCTGCTGGTGATGCCTCCCTCGTTTCCCTACGGTGGCATGGAAAATCCTTGTCTAACATTCGTAACCCCAACTCTTTTGGCCGGCGATAAATCCCTCGCTGACGTTGTGGCCCACGAGATTGCCCACAGCTGGACTGGTAATCTGGTGACCAACAAGAACTTCGAGCACTTCTGGTTGAACGAGGGCTTCACCGTGTTTGTGGAGTCGAAGATCGTGGGAAGAATGCAGGGCGCCAAGGAGCTGGACTTCAAAATGCTCAGTAATCTTACCGATCTGCAGGAGTGTATCCGCACTCAACTAAACAAGACACCCGAGCTGACCAAACTGGTGGTAGATCTTTCCAACTGCGGACCCGACGATGCTTTCTCCTCAGTGCCTTACATCAAGGGTTCCACCTTCCTGCGTTATTTGGAGGATTTGTTTGGCGGCCCCACCGTTTTCGAGCCATTCCTGAGGGATTACCTGAAGAAATTCGCCTACAAATCGATTGAGACAAATGATTTTAAGAGTGCTTTGTATGATTACTTCATCGACACCGACAAGAAGGATAAGCTGAGCGCGGTCGACTGGGACTTGTGGCTAACCACCGAGGGAATGCCGCCAATTATCCCCAAGTAAATTTTTGTGTCGAGGAAACTTAACATGTTATTAATACTTGGTACATTTTTTTAGATTCGACGAGTCGCTGGCCAACGTGACCAAGGAATTGGCCACTCTCTGGAGCTCCAAGAGTGTAGCTGAACTGACCGACAGCGCAGAGATCAAGCAGAACATTTCCATTCACCAGCTTATTGATTTCCTGGGCAAACTGATCGAAAGCAAGGATATTGTTGATTTGACCGAGCGTAAGATTGAGCTTCTGGAATCCACATACAACTTGGCGAACTCCAAGAACGCCGAGGTTCGCTTCCGTCTCAACCGTTTGATAATTCGTGCCCGTTTGATCAAACGTCTGGATGAGGTTCTTGAATTTGCCAACTCAAATTTCCGCATGAAGTTCTGCCGCCCTATCTACCGTGATCTGGCTGGATGGCAAGAAGCTAAGCCCGCTGCTATCCGCAACTTTGTCAGCGTCAAGGATCAGATGATGGCCGTGTGCTCACACACAATTGAAAAGGATCTGGGATTGAAGTAAATTTAAGTCTGACATGCATTTTTTAACATCTAAATTAAACAATAAACTTGTTGCACATTTAAAAGTGATTGGATTTAAAATAAAATTCCATTAAAATTTCATCGATTCATAAAATTCATATAGTTTCGTTTTTCTTGAATTATTTGTTTTTATTAAAAAATAAGCAAAACTACGTTTATAACAAGTTGATTTCCATTTCCATGCTCATTGTAATTTCTAATCTTCAATTTTGCTTGCAATTTTCGCGTTACCTTGATACCGTATTATTACCAATTGAATTTTCTCTTTCTTTTTATAGTTATAGCTCAACATTGACCAATTTCAAAGGTTTTGGTGTTCGTATAACTAATCAAATGGGCGTCGATCAGGTTGATCTACTTCGTTTCAAATTTCTTGTTGTTTAAATTCTTTAAATTTCTCTCTCGGCTTGTAGTACACATACACACACAATATATTAAATTTATTATTGTTTGCTTTGCTCGGCTGCTTAAATATTTTCTCTGTTGGTGTCTCAACTTCTAATCCCGACGAGTTTTGCTTGTGGTTTTTAAACTAATTAACAATTTTGTTTTTTGTTTTCACTTCTTACATTGACCAAAATGCTTCAACATGCTTCCAATTAATTTTCTCCAATTTTATAGCTGAGAGATCTCTGTAATTATTCCCTTTCCTCGGTCGCCTGGTCGATTTCTCGTCGCTGTTCATCTGGCAGAGGATTTAAAAACTATCACGCACTAGAATTATCATTGGAACGGGACGTGGATGGACCGGCACCCTGATCATCGCCCAGCACGAATGTGGGACTCTGGCGGGATGTGTGATAGTGGTAGCCCTCTCTATAGCGCTGATTGGGTTTCGACCGTGCGGTTTGTGTGTGACCCAATGCTGGACGCTGATTGTTGAGCTCATTGGGTCGTTTGGCTGCAAAAGGTGTTTTATATTACCCATCTGTTGGTTAATTTAAAAAGTATTATCTTTTACCAGGTATATAAGGCTTTTGATTATAGGACGATTGTTGTTGTTGTTGGTTATATAGATCCGACGAAGTGGCATTGCCATTGTGATGATATGGCGTCGCCTGCAGATCGGTGCTACAATTAATGGGACTCATCGGCGTCATCTCGCGATCCTCGATAAACAATTCGCTGGCATCGTCGGGCACCTGACGGTACTGAGTCCATGGCCAGGATGCGATGCCCGACAGAAGAAATGCCTCCAGGGCGCACAAATAGCCAATTATCTAAAAGTTTTTAAATATATTTAATTATTAAAATATATTAGATATACATAGGTTTTAAATCTTACTCCAGTCGCCAGCAGCGTGTCCTTGGAATGCTTGGACACCCATGTGTATTCAGTGGCATAGAGCACCATGTGAACAAGCAGCGTGGAGCTCAAAATAAATATCAAACCAATACTCAGGTACATCCACGTGTTCTGTTCATAAGAAATTAAGTATTTTGAAGTATATGGTTTAGCTTAATTTAAATATTAACTTACCACTTTAGTCCAATTGAATGGAAACATGAGAGCTATGTGCGATATATCCAGAAAGAGCATGAGACATGTGATGAGTAGCGAAAAGAGCGCACAGAAGACCATCAGCCTCAGGCGTCCGATGAGTGGCAGTAGAAAGAGGCCCACCTGTACGGTGCCCGCGGAACATTCGCAGGCTAGACAGGCGGCCGAGGATAACTGGTAAATAGGGGAAATAGGTTATTAAAAATCGTATCCATAAGGTATCCATAAGTATGTGTATCAGGAATTATAAAAATTTTAACTAGGTTACAGAAAAATCTAGAACTAGAGCCTTCAGACTCTATTATCATACCTCCTTATTATCATAAACTTTATTTTTAAATTATTACAATGACTTGAAACTTGATTTAAATAACATTTTTAATACGCTTCCTTTATTAGACACAACTATTTTAGTATTAGTAAATCCCTAAGATATGTCTGTTACTAGACCAAAGGATATGAAGGAAATAATCTAATTTAAGGTTTGTTTAGAATTTCACATTTTACATAACTTTAAAAAAAATGGCACATACAATTTTAAATTATGTAAATATCTTATAATCTTGTTTTGATATAATTAGGATAGCCCTCCCTTGACTTCTTCTTGCCTCGAACTTACCACCAATAGTATGCGCACAATCCCTGTAGGCGATTTCAAGTGTTGCGGATCACAGTGAAGGGCGACGCCCCAGGGCAGGGGGGTGTGGCCGCCCCTCTGCTTGTAGTTGGCATGGGAGTCCCAGGAGGTGCAGGTTCCGAGGGGGGATTCCAGGGACAACGAGTGCGAGTGCGAGTGGGAGAGCTCGCCGGCCCTGCTGCCAGCTATCTCAAAGTCCTGCTCATCGTCCAGCTGACAGCAGACCGGCTCCAGCTCCAGCTCCCGAATCTCGTCCAGCAGCAGTTCTATCTCGTCCGTGCCATATAGATCAGATACAGACGGTATATAACGTTGGGGTTGTTGCATTGCCCGTGGCGGGATGTGTCCCACATCACCGATGGTTGCCCCTCAACTGTCAAAAACTGCGCGCCCACGTCCTCCTCTCTCTCTCTCTCTCTTTCACTCTGTGTATTTTGGTCTCTTTCTCTCCTTCCTCGAGGTCTCTTCTTTTCTCTTAATTATCTGAGTAGCTGCAGAGATAAAAAATGTGAAAGTTTTTAAAATATGCAAAACAATCAATAATATATAGTATAGTATTATCTAAAAATTATAGTTAAAAAGGATTGGGACAAATAAATTATTATGAAAATATCCAAAAATTATAGCCCTTCCTAAAATTAAAAAATGGTGTTGATACTCATATTTCGTCTCAGTTTCAATACTTTATTTTCCAACCTAAAAATAATGTAAACTAATATTCTAATGGTTAAGGATTTTATACAACATTTTTATGAAATATAAATTTTTTAGTTTTTTTTCGTTTTATAATATTTTTTTATATTATTTTATTAGAACATGCGTAGAAAGGAAAAACGAAAGCAAATGAGTTCTGAACGCTCCGCTCCATTTGCTGTGCTATAGAAATTGATAACTGCCAGGCGGCTTCGGCTTGCCCACGACGCTCATTAGATGTCCTGTCCCCTCTGCCCCCGCCACTTGACACCACCCCCTTCATTACCTCCGCCTGTGCATAACCATAACGGTAATTTGATATGACTCGTCGACGACTTTGACGTCGCCGCTGCCTGGCTGTCACTCATACGCCATGTGGGCCGCAGTGAAAACGCGCCGCGATAAAATCCCCCAGGGTGCTGCCAATCTGAATACGCTTTCCCTGCCTACGGGATGCCACTACTTTCTCAGAAAATTTGTTTATAGAGAAATGAAGTACGAAGGAGTGTAAGCGAAAGGAAAGGGTAACCATATGGTGTGATATGAAAGTATCAGAATACAAAAATCACAATGATGATGGTAATGTATAGAAATGTTTCTGAACTTAAAACTAATGAACCCGTTAAGCATACCAATAGGATGGAGACTTGTAAATTGCAAAGCACATTTAAATATTAAAGACATTTGTTAATAGATATATACCAGAATTAAACCATACTATTAAAATTCACAAAAAATACCGAAATTAATTTATTTGATGTATATTTTTTGGTAATAGCCTAATAACTTAATAAATGTTAACCTAATAAATATTTAAAACAAGATGTGTTGAGAATGATATTAAATATTTAATTTATTCACCCTTAAAGCGTTCTATAAAATCGCCTTAAACTGTATAATCATTTATTAAATCCCCTGAAACTATTTCCCCTCGTTCATGAATCATTGAAATTCCCATTAGAGTTACTTGGCTGGTGCTTTCTGCCCGCATTGTTTAAGTTATTATTCTTATAATAGAAAATCCACAAACAAAATGAAATGAATTTATTTGAAGTATATTTATTTGTTAACTTACTTCCATGATAATAACTTTAAAAACATTTAAAACGAGATGAGTTGAGAATGATACTAAATATTTAAATAAATCACCGTTAAAGTATTCTATTAAATCGCTCCAAATTGTATTATCATTCATTAAATCCCCTGAAACTATTTTCCCTCGTTCATTAATCATTGAAATTCCCATTAGAGTAACTTGGCTGGCGGTTTCTGCCCGCATTGTTTCATTTATTATTTTTAATTGCGTCTGATGCGAGGTTTCGATAGTCTACCTACCAGATGAGGTGGCTGCCAACTGGAAATTAAATCGAATTGGTTTTTGTGTGTGCTGTCGGATCTCTTTTCCCCTTTTCTCTCCCTTTTCCCAGTTTCCCAGCTCGATTTTCCCCATCGACAGTGTCGATGCTTTTTCCTTGCCCCTGCGTGTATGCAACGAAATTCTGCTGAGCATTTTTTATATGTCACTCACACACACACACAGAGACTAATACTTTGGCAATTAACACAGACATGTGGAATGTGTAAGTGTGAGAGCTACGCGAAAGCCCAACTCCATGGAGAATTTCAACAATTTTCAGCTGTCCGGCCGCATTTTCCTCGAGCTGTCATAATCAGGACACAGCTGAAGGTAGCTTATGCTCCTTGTTGTCAGTTGTCCTGCTGCTTTTCCCACAGTTTTCCTTGTTGTTTTAGCAGCAGCACAAGGACTCCGAGCAGCAGGACATGAGAAATGCAGCTGGACAGGAAGAGCGCAGGACGGGGGGGTCAGAGGGGTTGGGGGTCGGAATGGCACAACAACACACATCTGTGTGTAGGTATTTCCCTCTCCGGACAGGCAATGTAACAATTTGTTCTCTCTCTTTCTGGCCAAATATCCTTGTCTCTCTCTCCCTCTCTCTCTGTAGTTTTTGTGAAGTTTTTGTTGGTGGTGCTGTTCGTGTTGTCCTTGCTCTAGTTTTAGCGCCCGAATGTCCTCAGCCTCCGGTCTGGGTTTTCAGCCCCTGTCCCTGCCCCGCCCCCTTTTTTGTCCGCCCATCCGCCCCCTATCCACGCCCTTATCTCTGTCTATTATCGCTGCACATAATCTCCCGATGCTGCTCGAGTGCCTAATGAGAGTCCTTGTCGGCACATCTCTCGCAAAGGACATGCCCTATCTTATCCAATTTGCCCATCGATTGCCAGACATTAAGCCCTTCACCTGCAGCCCCTTTTCTCGAGTTTTTTGTCACGCTTAATTTCACACACAGAAAGAAATTAATTACATTCATCTTTTTATCCAATTAACGTGTCTGCATTTCGCTTTCATTCATTTTAACACTCGTAATAAATATTGATTTAACACATGCTCGTTAAAATTCAATTAAAAGGTTTATTAGGCCGTTTAATTTTATTTCAGATGGGAAAATAATCTGAATGGATTTAATAATACATTTATTGAATATTTTATAATTCAATTTTAAATTGATGTTTGGTATTGGCGCAGAGATTTGACTGTTCAGCGTCAAAATGTATGTTTAAAAGTTTTAGCAGATGCCTAACATATCAATAAAAACAAAAATTAACATATTTAAAATATTTTTTAGTTTTTTTAAAACCTATTTTACCTTAAGCAATGGTAAAATGTTCTAAAAAGTGTTTAGTTTCATTATTAAATGCTTATATCAGTGACCGTAAATAGAAGTTGTTTCCATTTAAGAACTAATAGATTAAAACACCTAACGCTTAACCCTTACAAAACTACAGGTGTTTGCCCCTAAATAAGATATTCATTGGTTAAATGACCTAAGTTCATGGTTTAACTATTCAAGAACCTGTGCAGTAAAACAGCTTTTATGATAGTTGAGCTCTAAAGCTCCTTACTTATACCATAAATTATCGTTTTTGCCAGTGCTCAATTTGAAATCAATTATGCTGATCTGCATGTAAACTGACTTGGCTTCCTGTTGGGCTCCGACTTTCGCCTCGCTTTTTGAGCCAACGTCTGCAGGAAGTGCAAGTGCTATGTATGCAAATTTATTGTCAATGAAGGGGATTGGAATTGGCGTTTAGACTCGCAGGGCACCAAGTAGGGGGCCTTATGAATGGGGAAAAGGGTTTAGGGGTGGGGGGTGGACTGCAAGGGTTGGACCCTCGACGTGGGCTCGGCTGCATTTCTTATTTATGAACGTGCATAGACAATGCTTTCGGGTTCTTGTTGCTTTTTGTTTGAGTTGAGTGCCTCCCCTCCCCAAACACAAATACAAACACACTTGCTGTGGCAGGCAGTGTGCAACTTTTGTCGCATTCAATGGACCAAAGTTGCCGTAAATAACTTTTAATAGAATTTTTAATGGGGCTCGCTCGGTCGGCCGATGTCCGTTGGGCTCACTGTACGGCAATTTGGTTTTAATATAGATTACCATAATGATTTGTCAATGCTATGAGAGCAGTTGAAATGCGGTTAAAGTCAAAAAACTGTTGTGGTCAGGGATAAAATGAAATACGTGTATATCTTAAAAATTCAAAGAATTCGTGTGGTTATTTGGTAATAAAAGCTTGCATTCATAATTACACTTTTTATATATAAAGGGAAAAATGTCTACCTATATTGTTTCATTTATTTATGGATACGACAAAGGTTTCATAATTTATTTTCTTTATATTTTATCCATAGAATTGTTTGACAAGTTTTGTTTTACAGAAATATTATAAATAATTATTATGGAGTGTACAAGACATTAAACGCATATTAAAAGATGTAAACCCGCAACTCTCAAGCCTATGTATTATTAGCAAACTTTCTAAGCAATCGAAAACTTTATGAATTTTAAACTAACTTTAGCAACACGAAATGTTACTAGCCTAATAATGTATTGACTGAAATATAGTATATACGAAACCCAAACTGCTCTTCGAGTAAAACTTAATGGCCAAGTGAGCTGTAACTATATAAAACATGGCATAGGGTGAATGTTGGACAGTCCTCGGACTTTTCCAAGCTGCGTATACATTTTAGCTAAAATATTGGAATTTTCATGTTTTTTTGCTATATTTTTTGGTTTTGTTGCTAAATGCAGACAAGTTGACTATCGTCCTCGATTCGTGGCGGCATTCAATGCGGCTGGAAAATGCAGGGGAAAAGTGGTATGAAGGAAGCGGAAAACTGGGACCTTTTCCTACTTATTATGCCGCCGCATGTTTCTCTATGTTTGCTCTTTTGCGGAATTATCGATTACAAATGAATATTTCATCAGGGGAAAGAGGCTTGAAAAAATGGAGAAAGCTGGGCAGGGGTTCAGAGGTGCCAGGCACCTGTCGCCTGCTAACTTCCGTTTCCGGGTCGCGACACTCGGCGGCTATTTTTAATTAAAATGCAGCATACTTTTCGCCCTTTACTGAAGAATTTTTAGCACCGAAAGAAAAATGTGATGGTGCATACTTATACACTTTAAATTTTAGTAATGAAAAAGGAAAAAGTAAAAGTTCTTCTTAAAAAAATGCCAGGATAGTATGAAATAAAGTAAACAGGGTTAGAGAAAATATAGCCGGATGTGATTCAATAAAGAATAAAACTAAAATATTAAAAAATGCTGAGCTCCATGTAATACTCTGAGAATTACGAGTTTAAATGAATATATTTAAATTGAATAAAGTGAACTTTAATTTTTTTTTGTGTGACCTTTAGATCCCCCCTCTATTTCTTTTCCCACTTTCTCTCTGTCTCTGAAAAACTGCTGTTTAATGTATGGCCCCACTTCTGTTTTGTGTCGCATAATTACCAATGCCAGGATAATTAAGGCAACGCCAGGCTGCCAGGCCACACATAAAAAGGACAACGAGTCCCGAATGCGGGTCCTGACTCCTGGGACTCCAATATGGAGTGGGTCGGAACGGGGAGTAGTGGGTGGGAATGGGGTGGTGAGGTGGTTCAGTGGTGCGAGCACGTGACTAACGGTAATGGCACGCCAAATCACAGGAGAAACGAAATGTTTGCCGGGCGACAGTGCTCAGAATGCCAAATGCGAATAAGGGACGGGAAGTGGATTTTACAACAGAATTTCCTTATTCTATTAGGATAAAAATAGGAAATCCGTAAATACATAGTGTATTTAATTTAGGTTGCAATGATTTTCTGAAATATGGCTAGTGGAATACGAAGGTCTCTAAGCAGCATGAGATTGTAAATAATAAATAATTGTAATGTCATTTGTACAGCAATAGTGTGTCAAGACTGCTAACGTCATTGTCGAATACTCAGAAATCATGCAAGGCGTTTGCACCACCATATTAATTTATTTATTATTTAAATTTATTTAAATTGAATGAAAAACAAATTAACTAATGCATAATCATGCTCTCCGGATTAAACTTTAATTAAAAGGTGTTCAGTGCCTGGAAAAAGGATTTTCTGTTTAGTGGCAAGTCATGATCCTTTAGCAAAACTCTTGCATAAACTCCACTTCAGTTTTGCCTGCCGATTACCCCGCGTCCACGAAACTTGAGAAGAAAGTGATTAAGGCTCACGTTTCGGGATTACGTAAGCTCCTACAGGGATACTTAGCCATCTGGGCCTCAGAGCGTTTATATATATTATGTTCGTTTGTGTGGGTGTCTGTTAAGCATATCATGTGTTTATGCGATTCCTGAAATGAACACCCCCTCAGTCCCACTCCGTCACTAAAACCACTTTTACCTGAGCTTTTCGGGGCGTCCCCTGACACGTGAGCTCCATAAAAAAGGCAAGAAGGCCTCGTCATTTCATGGACGTTGCAGCACGCGAGGGGTCCCCTAGCCCCCCAGCCCCTTCCACTTTCCCCTAGCTTTCACTCAAACCCTCCCCGGTGTTTTCACTTTTGTTGGGATTTTCTGTGCTCGCCTTTCCCCGCTGCGTAAACACAGCTATTAAATGCGAACTGACCCCAAATGCTGACCGACTCGACAGCTAGCTATCAAGTACAGTCTTCATTCTCTTAAACGAACCCCTTTAAAATTAATGAAGGTAATATCGATTTTTAAGGTGGATTTATTCGGATTGGTCCTGATAGGGAACAAGTTTACAAGAGATATTTATTTCAAAGAGTATTTAGAGTAGTGAAAATAAATAAAAAAAACATTAGTATTCACACATAAAAAAAATGTTTGGGTAAAATTCACCAATATGGAAGTTATGTAACTTTAAAAATTGTTTGACAATTATTCAAAATAGTTATGTATGTTATGTTGTGTCTTTGGTTACTATATAATAGTAAAACTACCATTAAATAGTAGGTTGTGCGTATTTTGTTGTTATGAGAGTAACTATTTCAATGGTTACGTAACTTTTAAAAATGTTTAACAACTATTTAAAATAGTGATTTATGTTAAGCTGTATCCTCGGTTACTATTTAGTAGTAAAACTACCATAAAATAGTAAGTTAAGTATATTGTTGTTGTGAGAGTAACTATTTCATTGGTTAAATTGACAACTCGATGTGTTGGGTTCATTTAACTATTATAACAGTCCCAATATTATCCCTATTATAGTTGACCCAATACATATTTTGGGTGTAGATTTTTAAAAAATTATAGCATAATGCATATAAAAAGAAAACCTTGCAAATTCTAAAAAATAATGAATAACATATTAACGACATCGATATTATTGATATAAATTGATATTTGTATTAGGTCAAATAAAATCATGCTTTAAAGCCCGACTGTAATTAATTATCCCTAAGCCCTCTCCCATTTGGTATAGTAAACGGGCGGTGCAACAACCTCGTTTCGCCGACCTTGAACCAGTTTCATTTTTTACAAATTTCCAGCTAAAGGGGAAAGTCAAGGGGGCGAGCTAGAAAGGGAAAAGCATTAGGAGACTTTGCCAACTAAGAACTTTTGCAAATATCTCGGCGTATTAATAAGGCTCAAGAGTATAACGGCCATTTAATCGCAGCCACATACGCACACAGAGAATCCACATGTGTGGGTGGGATAAAATGAGGTTCTATGACAGCAAACTAAAAATAAACAAATGAGCCAAGCCAAAAACACAGGAAAAGCAAGAAAGAACGAGTTGAGGCTGCGGAAAAGCGCCTGCGCGGAGAGGAAAATTTGAATGGAAAAACAGACAGAACAGCGAGAGCGGAAAAGCGAGAGAGCCACCACAGTTATTGTTGTGGCTGCCGAAGGATTTCAAGGAAGTGAAATAGCTGCAGACTGAGTTTTTCACAGACAAACTTTCCTATCTGCTTCCTCTTCCTCATGCTCTTCCCTTTCTTCTTCTTCTTCTTGGCTCTTCCTAGCTGTCACTTCCTGTGTATCTTTGTGTGTGTAAGCGTGGGATTGAAAACAATCTGTATTGAAAAGAGATTTTTAGAGTTTTAAGTTTTGATTTTCATATGCCGATATTAAATATAGTGAAAATCGAATAACTGACTAAAATAATAAGTATTAATAGGAATATATTTTGGAAAAGTGAATTTGTGTCATGTTCATCAAACTAATCAAATGTTATGAAATAATAACTACCACAGTAAATAATAGGTATTTCCGACTAAGGTCGTCATTAACATAAGACCCCTCATTATAGGCATTCATAAATATTAGTGTTAATTAACTAAGGCTATAAAGTATCAATTATAAGGGTAAATAAAAATATTTCCTAGCAATAAACGTGAGGCGATTCCTATTTTCTTTATGAAATTTATATTAAATAAATTTTGAGAATACTATTAGTAAACTATTTAAAAAGTAATAAAAATGACAGAAAATATTAGAAATTGTAAAATGTTTATGAATAACTGAAGGAAATTAACTAATATTTTATAATTTAAATAGTGTTTTGAATTTTTTTTTATTTAGCAGTGAACTTGGTTCAATTGAACCAATTCAGCTGGTGAACCTTGCACCAACACAAACAAACTCTACACACATACAGCCTTGGCTAGTCTACTCTCATAGTATCCTTTTTTTAGGGTGTGTGTGTGTGTGAGTGGCCCAAAGTGTTATATTGACATTTGGCTACATAATGATTTATGCTGCTGCAGGAGCCGAGCGATCCTTGCTCCTTCTAATTCCTGCTGCTATTTTTAGGGGCATGGCCATAATTTATTTTTATGTACAAACGGCAGCGGCAACAACAACAGGAAGGAGGCAACTATATCACACGCACACACACACACACTTAAACAGAGATATATTTTTTTTGGGCAAGCGAAGGGCAAACGCTGGAAAGCATGCTACGATTTTTGTGTGGGAGTTGGGCGGTTAATTCGGTGGGTTGGCTGGCGGGGGGTGGGCTGTTCGTGTATACAACTAGTTAAATAAATTTACACTTGACCCACCTTTTTATTTCCCAGCTATATGTATTTTTATATATTTTATTCTCCTCCAAATGCGCGGCACGTTTCTTTTTCCTTTATTTTTTGGCCAGCAAAAATCTTTTGAAAATTGCCTGTGCACATGTGTGTGTTTGTGTGTGATGGTGTTGGTGTGAGGGTGAGTGGGTGGCGGGGGGTGGTGATGGTGTTTCTTCCTCTTCTGCCCAACTTAATGTCAGTTCATTCATGGGCCAAAATCAGGTTTCAGTTTTCCTTTCGCCTGTATGTGTGCAAAACGGGAAGCTGGCATTTTATTTGTGATTTCCTGGTTTTCTTTTTTGCTTTTCAAAATATTCTGTATTAATTTTTCTTAAACATTTTGCACTCATCTTTCTGCACACCTTGTATTTTATATGTTGCTTAATTATATTTTTCTCGTCGTATTTGAGACGCTCAGCAAAACAATTTTCATTTTCACACACTCGCACGAAAATCATTACTCAGTATGCACGGCTTTCCACGGGCTTTTCATTTGCCAACCACCGCGCCCCTCGCCCCACCATTTGGGCCATGCTGCCTTTACTGCCGTTTCTACTGCCTTTCAACATTTGCTAAAACACTCACACAGTCGCACGTCGGAGATATTATTGGGGCGGTTGGGCGGTCGGGCTGTTTGGGGGGCGTGGCTGGTCGGGGGGCGTTCGAATGCAAAGCAGCAGAACGGACGTCGAAACAACGCGACACCAACACAGAAGTGAGTGCAGGGACAATCCGGAAAAACCGACGACCGACAGCGTGAAAAGCCAGCAAACGACTGAGTCTCAAAGCCCAAAAAGAAAGCTGAGAAAGGAGAGAAAGTCACAGAGAGAGAGGAGAGAGAGAACGAGAGAGAGAGAAAGAGACTGCGTGTACATCCTTTGCAGAGGCGTCAAAAGTTCGCGGAACTAGCTCAGAAAGTCACTAATACCCACAAAAAAAAGAGAGGATGCACTGAAAAAAAAATGTATTAAATTACATTTACGTTGAACATTAAGATAATTTTTTCAACCTGATTACATATTTTATAAACATAAAAGTATTGGGTTAAAAAAATATACTATATCTTATTTATGTTTTATTTTGACAAATTTTAATATTTAGAAAATATTAAATAATTGCAACTATGAACTTTCTCTAAAAATTTAAATAGCTAACTTTAGTTTTAGAATATCAAATACATTCACTTAAATGCTGACGCTTTAAATATATTATTTTGATAACAAAATTTACTTCCTATCAATTTTTTATTGCAGTGCAAGTAAAGAGCGGCCGCCTTTGATTAGCTGATAAGCCGCTCAATAAGGCGAATCTCACACGAAGCTCCGTCTATAATGATCAGTTGTGCTGGAAACTTTGGAAGAAACGAACGTGTGAGCTGTTGGAAATCTACAAAGCAGAGCAAAGAATCGAAAGTGTACATACTATATGGTGCAGCTATATACTAAATATAGCTTAGAAGTCAATTTCTTATGAATATTTTATAGAAATCGGAAAATATGGAGAGGTAAGTTTAAGAAGTAGTTAAAATATGTAAGTATCTTTTTAATACTACTGTATTCCCTAGTTTCTGGCAGGAATTGAAATCGTTGCTGAAGACCCTGCTCTGCTTTGTGGTTGCTTTGATGCTGGTGCCTCTATTGCTGTTATCGCTCCTATGTAAGTGTTCGACATATCCCCTGCAGTGATCGATGATCATCGATTCGCGACACGCGCTGCTGCACTGATAAGCCACATAAATCAATAACTTCAAAAGGGGCGACTATATAAATAAACGATCCATGGGTTGATTAACCGATTCTCACTCAGCCAAAGGATCATCTGTTAATGGGAGCCCAAGTTATAAATGAGGCCGATGAGAGAAGGAATGAGAGGGTCCCGAAGAAAGTAGATAAGCTTTTTGTTTATAAATAATACAGGTTACCTGTTGCACCTTTGCGGAACCCAGACAAGCGATCAAGCGAACCTTGACCAACTGAATTACTCATAAAATTTTGCTATTGATAAGCCCAGTCTTCGCTGCTTGATACCCGGTAATCGCTGGGAATGATGGCCCATTCCCATGGGGTACACATGTGAATTGATTAAATTAATCAGCTCATTATTTGGGGTGTCCCAAATTAATCAAATTATTTACTGTCAAGGTAATTGGTTTGAACTTTTGCTTATAATGACTTTGATCTTTAATCTTTGATCATTTAATTTAAAAAATCCCTCGTTTTTCGATTAACGGGTATTTAATGTTCGAGAAACTCACTACTTAAATTCTTTGTTATTATTTCTTGTTTTTGCTTTCTTTTATTGTATGAATTTAATCGCTAGATTTTTATAAACCCCTAGAGGTAGTAACAAGTGATGTCGATTAATGAGCTACAAAACTTGTACATCTTAAATACCTATCTTCATTCTCAGGCGCTCACTTTGGCAACGAACTATCCAACTACGTGCTGAGCATCAAGTACCCGAACCTAACCATCTCAAAGTCCAAGAAGATCCGGACTTTAATCGACACGCCAAAGAATGCGGGCATATTTCACTTTCTTCTCCAAGTGGAGGGAGATTGTGACTTCGAGCGGATCAAGATGTCCTATGCCCAGTATCTAACTGATGTGAGGGATAAAACTGGAATGCTAAGGTTCCCCAAGCTGCGTCAAAAACTCGTCTCTTGTTGGGGACATTATGCGTGGGTGAATGATAGCAGGTAAGTGATTGGGTCATAAAGAAATTTATAGATCATAACTATCCCTTGTTTCCTTCTTAAAGTGGATTCAACATCAATAATCACGTCCTGCTCAATACCCACAAATACCGAGGACGTCCAGTCACCGAATCGAATATTCAGGAGTATGTTAGCGAACTGGCCACCAAGTATATACCCTCCGATCTTCCCCAGTGGCAGGTTATTGTGATCCCGAATGCGGAGAACTCCCAACCCTACTATATCCTCATTAAACTACACCACCTAATAATCGCTGAAGAGGAGGATCTGCATGTGAGTGAGATGCTTCTGCTCCAGGATCCACAAAAGAAAATAGAGATGACCCTGAACGATGGATTGAGTCAGAGTTCGAATCAACAACTCTCACGTTTTGTACGCAAACCCGAGCACATCAGCAGATTGATTAGTCACATAATGCATCTTATCATATGCCGATGGCAGAAATTCATCTATGAATTCGAATCTCTCGAAACTCCGGATGGCTCCACTTCTAGTATTCAAGTTAGAAGCCTCAGTCAGTTGGCTTCTTTGATAATAATTGTTCTGGTAAATGTGATTTTGGGTTATATAAGGAGTCGTTCAATGCTCAAGAAACTCCAAAGACGTTCAGTTAGCTATCGAAATCCAGTGGGTCGTTTTCAAACTATACGATTGCTTTTGAATAGGGAGTTAGAGCAAAGAAATCTCAATTGGTGGGTGGCCAGAAATGCCGTCTATAACAGTTTGCAGCCTACTAATTTGGCCAAGGTTTGGACCCGTTTTCTTTGGCGTCTTAATCTCAATCATGTTTTGCTTCTACCCTATCACATATACTGCGAATTACTGGCATTCGGTGACGTCTTGTTTAAGGGACAAACTTCGTATAGTTCAACTTATTGTGCTAGACTTCATTTATATGTACCGCTCTTACTCTACGCTCACTTGGAGTTCTTCAAAATTCTTTGGGAGCTTTTCCAGGCTCCAAGAAACATTTATGAGGTCCTTTTCGAGCAGCCAACTAAAGAGTTGAATATTCTGCATACCAAATCATATGCAGGCAGGAAAATTGTCTCTTTTGGGCGGTCAATAAATGGCGCCCAACTAAGGACCCGCAATGAGGGTAAGTTCAGTAATAATCTCAGAGAGTCCGATTTTAGTTTGACTTGCCTAGCAGGTGCGGTCCACGATTACTTTGAAACATTCTCAGGAGACTTGAAAGTCCCCAATTTCCTAAACACCACTTGTAGAACCATAGATAAGGGATATTTTACAGATCGAATTGGGGATAAATCCGAAAATATTGGGGGCGTGGTCTTTTTACAATTGCCTTTAAGAAAACCTGATGCTAATCATGCTGGAGAACTTCATCAGATTGTTGAGAGAATAAGAAAGCAACAGATCATAATATATTTAGCCTCTATTGGTCAGACAAAGTACAGTCTTCTCACATCCCTTTTCCCTCATGTTATTACGAAAATTTTCATTAACTTCTTCTCATATAACTTTCCCATCACAATCACTGAGATCTACGGAGCCAATGATGAGTTTCAATCGGCTTGGGGTCAAAAAGTTCAGGATGTCCTCCTCTTCCGGCCTCCACAATCGAAGACCTGTCTTTCCCTAAATCTACATCGCTTTGGTGACAAGTATAGGTTGGCTGTGATGGCAGATACACATCTAGCACCTGATCACACAATAATCACAAGATCTTTTGATCATTATATGGAAACAATAACTCTATAATAAGAAAGAACCTCCTCATCTTCATATTGATGTATGTGCATAATATAAACGAAATGAAAATTATTTATCCAACATTAAAAAAATGGTTTTTAGTTACAAAAAAGTTTATCAAAGGTACCGAAGTACTTATTTTTAGCTATTGAGTACTCTTGGATATAAGTGCCAAATGAAAACACTATTTTAGTAAACTCTATTCCAGTGACTCTGCTTAAACGATGTATAAAAACAATAAATATCGTAAGCACCTTGAGGATCATTTCTACGGGACGAAGAATACATCTGTGAGTCTCTAAACAGAAGATATATATATATATTGATAGTTCTAATACATTTTTAACAGACCCTTAATGAGAACAAAGGGTGTGGTCAGTGTGCCTATAAGGATGTCGAGTGTCGACCGCGTAGGGAAAGAATTAATTCTCCGGAGAATATTCCTCAGGTTTGCAAGCAAACTTTTACATCGGAAAAGTACCTAGCTAGGCAGGATAAATATGGCGGTTACAACAAAAGACCGTGTGAAAAGTGCTCATATGAACAGCAACAACAGCGCGTTCATCATGCACATGATCCATTTTATAGGAAGTATTATCATAGTAATCATCATTGTAAATATGATGACAAACTTCTCCAGTCCCAGCAATACCAGGTAAACGTAATTTTAACCCAGTCTCAAATATATAACAAGTAATCCTGGGAATTTCATATAGCTACCTAGCCAATCGAATGCTCGTCAGCAATGGAATCCGAAGAGAGTGGAGGAACACAGTCCCAGACACTCACCCAAACCATATAATAGTCATTTCCCTTTCGGTCGCAGTACTCGAAATCAGACCCCAGTCAATGAAAAAGGCGGAGGAGATTGTCTTCTCTACAAGAACTTGACTTTTGGTGCCCCTCCATCTAGTAAAAGTGATGATGGTGGCGGGGATAAAGGTGTTAAGAAACACTCGCCCAAATGCAAAAGCCCACATCAGAAGATAGAATCACATAACTGTTCTGAAGCGGCCAAAACTCATTGCCAAGCTGTTGGTGATCAATTCCAGCGGCAGTTCGTCCCACCTAGCGAGGGTTCCAGCTCCAAGGGCTCCAAATCCAAACGCTCCAAAATAACCGTGATTAGTGCTAAAAGCGGCGACGATCTCAGAGCAGCAGTAAGGTCGCAAATAGAACTGCAAGAGGCTATGGAGGAATTTAAGCTCGAAGTGAGGAATAAGCCTCCGGAGCCATTGTCTGATGACAAAACCAGCCCACACCCAAAAAGGATCCAATCCCCCAAATCCGATCAAGTGATTGAGGATGTCGTTGCAATTGCCATGGAACCCCGTTCAAGTAATGCACTTTCGGATTTGCTCCAACACGAAGACTTGACTGCCAGTCCAGATAAATTAGTCAGCACCAAAGTTATCGATCCCATGATAAGGAGAATTCAACGCATGTATCTAAACACTCTGCAGGAGGAAATGCAACTCTTGGAGCATTTGGGAACAATCCCAAAACTGGTCAACAACGTTTATAAGCGAGATCCTGCTGAGGAGGAGCAAAAGTAACTTTAGGGAACGTAAAAATTATATTTTGAATTGATTTATTTGTTGTTATATTTTGTATAATAAAAAAATACTTATTTAATTAATAAAAATCAAGTGAAAACTACTTATGTGGCTGCCAAGATGTAAGCTAATATGCACTAAAGACTACATTTCAAATGTCGCGCCAATCGCAAAAACATCGCGCATCCTAGTGGAGACACGCACCTGACAGCGGAGACACCATCCTGAACTTTAAGAGTGACCGCTTGCATTTTTTTCGGTATATCTGTTTTATTTCGGTATATTGGTATGAATAAAAATGGTATACGTAGTATTTTTTCCAGAGCCGAACGCGGTCACACTGCTTCTAGAACAAAAAAAAAACTATTCGCGAATTGGTGAAAACGCCGCTGCGGAAATTCTGCCAGCCGAATGAAAACCCCACGGAGGAGGGTGCGGGTGAATAGCAAACGGAGCGTAAGATAAAAGGCACGGCTAGCTGAGAGGCGTCACGTAGACGACGGCCGACTGATCGATATTCAATACAGGCGCAGGGCAGCGCTCACACACACCCACAGGGACACGCGTGAGTGTCGCCACACACACAAACACATGGAGAACACTCGAGGTGGCGAAAATAATGTAGAATTGGCCAACGGCGGCAAGGATTTGGCCAAGGAGTTCCAGGAGCAGTTGGAAAATGCCCAAAAACCGGTGGAGAAGACACTGGAAGCGGCGGGCGAGGTTCCCAGTGAGCGGGAAACGCCCGGAAAGGGGGTAAACAACGAGGCGGCTGTGGAAAACAACAACGCAAATGCCCGCGGAAATGCCAGTCCAACAACTACAAGCGCAGAAGAGGCAGCAACAAAAACTAATACTTTAGTAGAAGCAGCCGCAGCAGCAACAACAACGGCAACTACAAACAGCAACAATTTACCCATACCAGAGCAACAACCATTGCAGTCAGGCGATGGGAATGCAAATAACACAACAAAAGCAATAACAAAGCCAGCAGAAGAGGAAGAAGAAGCAATAGCCACAACGGATACAACAATAACAACCACAACTACAGACGAGAAGACAGGTAAAGTAAAGCGAAATTGGCAGAAAACAAATCCAATGCCAACTAATGTGATTTACACCCCACCCACAACCAACCAACCACCCGCAGAAGAGCGCAATCACAAGAGGAAGAAGAGAGATAAGGACCGGGATGACGATAAGAATCGCCGCAGCAGCAACAACAACAGCAGCAGCAAGGATCGGGACAAGGAACGAGATCGGGATAAGGAGAGAGAGCGCGAAAGGGAGAGGGAACGAGAGCGCGACAGGAATCGCGAGAGCAGCTCCAAGACCTCTAAGGAGAGCGACCACAAGTCCAATTCTTCGCGCAGCAAAGAGAAGAAGTATCACCGCAGCGATCGGGACAGAGAGAGGGAGAGAGATCGGGATCGGGAGAAGGTGAGCTGTGGGAAAGGTTCTGGAAGTCCAGAAAGCAAACGGAAACATTTAGAATAGATATAAACACGGAATACGTCATTCACCAGTTACAAAACCCTCGCAATCTACTAGATACATCGGTAGTTTGAGTTATAATTTACTTGATATCGAATGCCGTGACCTCTGAGTGCTATTTGCTAATGAAATATTGTAATGTGTAGTGTTCGACACTCAAATTGTCAATGCTATACTTTTCTTTCTTAGAAAACTAATGAAATTTAACCATGGGTATTTCAAACAATAACATGATAACGAAAGACGAGATCTTCAGTTCAGCGAGTCATAGTTTTTAATAAGAAAATATTTATTTGCAGCGTTAAAAGTAACCGCAATCGTTTACATAGCAAACTGTTGCAGTTACTGAATGTTTGCACAGGTGTCCATCAAAAAACAATAAAGCACTATAAACAATTTTCCTCCTCACTTTCAGATTCCCTCCTCGTCGTCCAGCTCATCTTCGCACTCGCATCGTCGCCGGAGTTCTGAGAGCAGCAGAAGCAGCCAGAACAGCTCATTCAAGACGAAGGATCCAGTGGCGGATTCTGTTCTGCCACAAGCAGTGGCTGCTGCCCTAGAGCAGCAAATCAAAGTGGAGGAGAAAATCAAAACAGAACCAGTAGAAACTAAACTAGAAACGGAAGCAGAACCATCACCAGTACTTACTAACCTCATCAAAACTGAAGCGGAAATCAAAAAAGAATCACCGGTGGAGCCACCCAAGCCATTGGTGAATGGAGAGGCGGCAGCAAAAACACGAGAGGAGGTCACTAGGCAGCTTCAGTTCGGGGACAAGAGCTCCAGTTCCAAGTTGATGCCATCGCCGGCGCCGAAAACCAGTTCCGGATCAAACTCCTCAGTCAGCAATCATTCCTCCAGCCAGAGCAGCAGCAACCGAAAGACCTATACGTCGTCATCTTCCTCTTCATCCTCCAGCAACCATCACAAGAGTTCCTCGTCGTCATCTTCCCGTCACACTTCCTCCTCTTCATCCTCGTCTCGGGACTGCTCCAAGTGCTACAAACGCTCCAAGATCCGGCGAACCAGTGTAGGCGTTCAGTGTCTGCAACATGCCCCAGCAGCTGGACCCTGGCAAACTGTTCAGAGCCTGCCACCAAGGCCCAACCGGAAACCACCAGCTGGATTGGAGAACCTTAAGTACGGCTGCTACTTCCAGGTGGAGCAGTATCCGAATGGCGGAGCCTCCATTGTTCACCTGTATCAGCATGAAATCGATGCACTGCCGCCGGACGAAATGGAGGAGCTTGTGGATGAGTTTTTCGAGGTCTGCTTCGCCGAGGATGAACAGGGTTATGCCCACCATGTGATGGGCATTGTCCACGATGCGGCGCGTTATCTTCCCGATCTTCTAGAGCATATGGCCGAGAACTACTCAACGTTGACGGTGAAGGCGGGAGTTCTCGGACGCAATTCGGACATCGAGACCTGTACGATGTCGCAGTACAATGAACAGGTAAGAAACATTTAACATTTATTTTAATAAATCATATTAATTTATTATTCATCTCTTAACTTTAGGTGGTTCGCAATTATTGCCAAGGAACCTTTCGATATGGACCCTTGCATCAGATCAGTCTGGTAGGCAAAGTGCATGAAGAGGTCGGCGGCTATTTTCCGGATCTCCTGGGTCGCATCGAAATGAATCCATTTTTAAGAAAGGTAGAATTTATCAATAACTAGTCAAAGATTATACTTTAACAGTTTTTCTTTTCCAGACCATGCCTTGGGCTTGTAATTCCATACTTCAAACGGACCCCCGTCAGTCGAACGATGGTCCCATCCTCTGGATACGTGCTGGAGAGCAGTTGGTTCCCACTGCAGAGCTAAATAGCAAGACCCCGCTCAAGAGGCAGAGGTATGTTTCCTTCGGAAAAATATAACTTAATATTTTTATCTAATTAAACTCTCTTAATACCAATTAGGACTCGTATAAATGAGCTGCGAAACCTTCAATATCTGCCCCGTTTATCGGAGGCCCGTGAGACGATGATCGAGGATCGGACCAAAGCTCATGCAGATCACGTAGGCCATGGCCACGAACGCATCACCACCGCTGCAGTTGGTGAGCTGCTCCTGATAAATGTGTTTCCCTGAAACCGACTAATCGTTGTTCCCGTACTATTTCCGTTTTCCAGGCATACTGAAGGCTGTGCACTGCGGACAGACTTACACGCAGAACCGCATCACCAAAGACGTGGTCGCTTTTGCCGCCCAGGACTTCAATACAATGGTGGAAATGCTGCAGCTGGACCTGCACGAGCCCCCGATCTCGCAGTGCGTGCAGTGGATCGAGGACGCCAAGCTGAACCAGCTGCGACGAGAGGGCGTCCGCTATGCCCGCATCCAGTTGTGTGACAACGACATATACTTCCTTCCCCGCAACATAATCCACCAGTTTCGCACTGTAACGGCGGTGACGAGCGTAGGTAAGTTATCTCAACCTTTCTTTATTAGAATTTTTTAGTCATACTCTGCCATCTACAGCTTGGCACCTGCGCCTTCGACAGTATTATCCCGGTCAGGAGGTGATTAACGAGAAAAACAACCCTGTGCTAGCCGAAACACCGCACTACAAGGAAAAGCAAACGATCCTGCCCAACCCGATCAGCCACGACGAATGTGGCAAAAAGACGCCCTCAAAGCGAGCACACGATGGCAGGACGAAAAAGAAACTTATTGACATCGATGGCAAGGAGCGTCGATCCAGTGAGAGCAGTATGGACGAGCAGCCATCCGCAGGAAGTTCCTCTCCAAGCCAGAATCAGGAAAGCAACAGCAACAGTAGCAGTCAGAGTAGCACCAGTGGGGCTAGTACTCCCAAAAAGAAGACCAGCAAAGACGACTCCAAGATAGATATGAGGAAAATGGTCCTGGAACACAAATATAAACTGACCAAAGCGGCGGTTGTGGGAACTCAAGAGAAGGAGAAGCCCAAGAAGGACAAGGAAAAGGAAAAGACAAGGGAGAAGGATAGAGATAAAGAGAAGGACAAAGAGAAGGAAAAGGAAAGGAGGAGCGAAACTCCCAAAAAGCATACAACGCCAGCCAAGAGTGGCTCCATAAGTGAGCCCTCGCCTGCCAAAATTCCCCGTTTGAACAACGACACAACTCCCAGTTCTCCTGCTCCCACAGTTGTTCCCACGGCTGCTTCTCCACTTAAACCTATAACTAATCCTATACCTGCACCGGTCACCGAAGTGTGCGCGGAGGAAATTGTGGAAATGGATATACCGATTCCCAAGGAACCAGCCCCAGCTGTGGCTCCAACATCACTAACTACTAGTTCTTCATCACTAATAAATGTTCCTCCACCACCAACTCCAGCTCCCACTCCCATACCACTTTCTGCACTGCATCCACCGCTACCGGTTGTAGCTGCTCCACCTCCACCGCCACCCACTCAAATTGTCAAAGTGGTTCTCCCAGCCTCATTGACTCCTCTCACCAGAATGTCGGTGGTTTTGCCACCCTTGCCGCCTTTGCCTCCTTCGCGGGCAACAGCACCACCGCCTCCACCACCTCCACCGAACACAAAAGGAAGCGGCACCGCCATCCCCATAGCAGCCACAGTTTCCCCGCTGAAACCCACCTACAAAACCATTAGTTTACCCTCACATAAGATCATCATCGCAGGCACCGCAGGAGGGAATCGCGTTTCCGTTGCAAAAGGAGCGGCTAAGAGACCTGTGGACCTTTTGGGTTCCATCATGGCCAGCATGGACAAGCCAGCGGGGAGTGGCTCCAATAGTAACTCCTCATCATCGACATCCTCGGCAACAACGAATAGTTCGCTCTCCTCATATACGAACTCCAACAGTAGCTTCTGAAATTGGAAGGAGGAATGGAAGGAGAGCGAAAGTAGAGGCTCCTATTTGGACTTTATGTGAAACTATATATTTTGTAAATTTAAAAGCCGCTCGGAATTCCGTTTAACGGATTTCGAGGTGCTAAATCCTTTTCAGGAAGATCTCAACGCTGAAAAAGATATAAGTACGTTAAGTATCGCTCACTTACTATAACATTGTCATGGGTTAAAATTTTATAACTGTATTAAGTAGTGCGAAATGTTTCGCAATAACAGGCTTTATATTCTGTATAAGTTTAGTTATACAACTTTTTTTAAAAAAATCGTAATTCCTTCTCCAATATAAGCCAGCACAGTTTTGTATTAAGTGAGCGAAATCTCATCCAGTGCCGAGAGATCTTCCATTGTAAATAGCCAAAAGCTTATATGTAGTCCTACACCTCACATACAAACACCCCTATATTTGATAAAGAACGTAGATTTTTAAGCTCAAAATGCGAGACACTTGATAGATATGTAGTTTTTTAATTTATTTACACCACCAACCACACCGCAAGCACTTTTTAGATACAACAATTGAACGTTTTTTAATGCAGGCAGGTACATTTAACTGTTATAGTGTGTATTTTTTAAAGGCACGCACCTAATTGGCCAGAGACATTCGTACTCGTTAAAAGTATAAATTAAAAGCCATAAGGCTTGGCCAAGGTCCCAGTTTGATTTCCTTCTCAACAACTTTTTTGAAAAGTGTTTTGAAAGTGCGTAGAACAATACACACATTGATAATTACAATATATATATACACCATATATAACTGTAGAATTAAGCCAGCTTACACGTTGAAGAAACAATAAAGATTCGGATCGTACAAAAACATAAAACCGTTTTGTCACTCTAAAATCCCGATACAGTAATGCAACACTTTGTGGATTACGAATATAACATTTTAATCTCTAAAGAAATAATACAAAAATCGTACAAAAAGCGTATGCTGGATAAATCCACACAACTAGGTTTAACAGATCCAAAGCCACCAAGATATTGCAATGCACAAGGAATGCATAATAAAGATCTATTGAGATGTCTAGAGCTTGGAGCGCAGCTCCTGGATTCTTCCTTGAGCGGATCGCTGCAGATCCATCAGCTTCATGGCAAAGCCCATATTGCCCTGGATCTTGATCTTTCCCTGAAAGAAGGCCTTTTGCGGTGGCAATTTTCCTGTCAGCAAATCAAAGACATCCTCGTCGCTGATGATAAAGGTTACATCACATTTTTCTGAAATAGGAAATTAAAATCATTATTTTGAATATACTTTTTATACACTTAAAGTAAGCTTACGTGTTCCGTTAAAAATAATTTTTCCCTTGCCTTGCTTGGCATCGATTACCCAGTATCCGGTCTGGCCATTAGGTCCGTTGTTCACCTTAAAGCCGTAAATGGCGCGCACTTTCTCGATAAGATTGTCCTTGTCCTCCTGCATGGCTTGCTCAAGAAGTTTGAGTAAGGGAGATACCTTGAATCCTTCTTCGCTAGTTGCCGCCTTGCCGGCAGCAGTCAGATTGCGAATCACTTTGTTGGCAGCGGGGAAACCCAGCCTATACAGCGCCACAACTACGGCTCCTCCCAAACCAAGATTGTGCTGCAGAGCCAACTGGGCATTGGGCACTTGACGTTTCTCGGCCAATCCACGGAGCTGCCAGCAGAGCTCAGCACATTGAGCCAGACCAGTGGCTCCCAGAGGATGACCCTTGGAGATCAGACCACCACTGGGGTTGACCACGAACTTTCCACCGTAGGTGTTGTCTCCGGCGTCGATAAACTCGCCAGCCTTGCCCTCTCCACACAGTCCAAGTGCCTCATAGGTGACCAATTCGTTGGCCGAGAAGCAATCGTGTAGTTCCACAACCTGGACATCCTGGGGCTTGTACCCACTCTTTGCAAACAGGCGCTGAGTGGCCAGACGGGTCATGTCGGTTCCGGCAATCTTCATGAGGCTCTTGTCGGCGAATGTGGATGCAGGATCACTGGCCATCTCCATGCCCACAATCTCAACTGCCTGCTTCTCCAATCCATGACGGCGGACGAAGGCCTCCGAGGCAAGAATAGCTGCTCCTGATCCATCGGAAGTGGGACAGCACTGCAGTTTGGTCAGCACGCCCTCCACAACCTGGGGCGACTTCATAATCTGCTCCAGGGTGTACTCATCGCGGAACTGCGAGTAGCTAAGCAGAGACAATAGGGATAAAGATTAGATACGGAACTACTGCAACGACTTAGTTAATAAGCCTTACGGATTGTTGACCGAGTGTTTGTGGTTCTTCCAGGCGATTTTGCCGAAGTGCTCGGGCTTGGTGCCGTACTTCTTCATGTGCTCCTTGCCAGCGTTTCCGAAGATCTGGGCAGCCATGGGGCCAGCTCCGATCTCGGTCAGCTCACCCATTTCAGTGATATGACGCTCCATGGGATTGGCGCGATCAAAGTACTAAAAGGGAAAGAAGTAATGGGTCAGTAATGGATTTGGTAGCGGGTTAAGTAATTCACCTTTGAGGACAAGGATCCACGCTCCATCTTCTCGAATCCCAGAGCCAGGACGCAGTCGGCGTTTCCGCCTTCGACGATCTGCTTGGCCAGATACAGAGCACTCGATCCCGTGGAGCAGTTGTTGTTCACATTGTAGACGGGGATGCCGGTCATTCCCACCTCGTAGATCGCCCGCTGTCCACAGGTGGAGTCCCCATACACGTAGCCAGCCACCGCTTGCTGCACTTCGTCGTACTTGATGCCTGCGTCCTGGAGAGCCTTCGTAATAGCCTCCTTGGCGAAGTCCGGGTAGCAAACATCAGCTCGACGACCGGGCTTCTCAAACTGCAGGGAACACGAAAATAAAGATTTTGATTATCAGAGATTAGAATGCAGATTAATAATTCCAATCGCGGCACTCCAGGGGGCAGTGGAGCGATAGAGCTAGTCGTAATAATATTTATAATAATGATAATGGAATGGAGCCACAAACATTCGAGAGCAGATTATCGAACGAAGTGCAGCCCGGTTCAAAGTCCGGTAATCGCTTAATATTGCTCAATATTCAAGTTACTTGCAAATTGTCAAAGCTCCTCTTTTATTCTTTGTTTTGTTTTTATTTACATTTTCTTTTAAGGTTGCCTATAACTATCGGAGGTTTCCGGATACTTACCTTGGTCATGCCCACCCCGACGACATAAACACGGATCTTCGACATTTCTTTGTAGCAGGATCTTAAACAAAACAGGTAATACCGCAACTAGTGCTCAAGAGCTATTAAATTAAGTCGCGGACCAGAAGCTGGGTGCAGTTAGACAGGGTTGTCTTCCAATAACAATTACCATAGAATACGGTAACACCAGCCATATGATTCAGGAGCGCGCGTCATTTAAACCAAATGCAGCCCTGTAAAATGCATGAAATTCAGCTACCTAACTAATTTTATATTTAGCAACTTTTCTAACTTAACTGTTAATATTATGATAAATGTTTTAATTTTATAGAATAATAAAGTTTAACCCACAACCATAAAGCCCTCATTCAATGCTATAATATATGTTTTCTTTATAACTAGCACCGATAATTAGTTTTGAAACCATTTTCGGAGTTTTTTAATAAATTCACCACCGATTTGTTGAATATTTTAAATTAAAATGTTTAATTATTGTTTTAGAGTTTATGGTATTTAAACTATAACAAACCATACCGAAGTACTTGCAGCCCTCATAATAGTTGTATATTTTGTTTAGCTTTATATCTGGCTACGTTGAATTATGTTAATTAGGGAATGTTTTTTTTTAATTTGAGCTTTTAAGATTAATTTACAAAATTATATAAATAATTGAAGAATGATTTTTAATCTAAATTTTGAATATCATTAACACAAAATGAATAAACAAAATTCAACCAAAAAGCAGCGTAATCAGCACCTCTGTTCTTATCATATCTATCGTATATAAGCAAGCAACCTGTTGATCCACCTCAGTCGATATTGAGAGTCCGATCCGTGATCCCGCAGAGCACAAACAGCCAAAAAATGACCAAGACCAGAGTTTACGTTATCGGAGTGGGCATGACCAAGGTTCGACTGCAAGAGATTAACCTTTGTGCCGCCTTTATTTTAATATCTCTCCGATCTTCCTGTTATATTTTTCGTTAGTTCGAAAAGCCCGGTCGTCGAGCTGATGTTTGCTACCCGGACTTCGCCAAGGAGGCTGTTACGAAGGCTCTCCAGGATGCGGGCATCAAGTTCGAGGAAGTGCAGCAGGCGGTGGCTGGCTACGTGTATGGAGACTCCACCTGCGGGCAGCGGGCGATCTACGAGGTGGGAATGACCGGCATTCCGGTCTACAATGTGAACAACAACTGCTCCACGGGATCGAGTGCTCTGTATCTGGCCAAGCAGATCGTCGAGGGCGGAAACGCCGACTGCGTCCTAGCCCTGGGATTCGAGAAGATGGAGCGTGGATCCCTGTCCTCAAAGGTGAATCACTTAACTCTCTAACAAATCCATTACTGACCCATTACTCTCTCTCCGAATAGTACTTTGATCGCGCCAATCCCATGGAGCGTCACATTACCGAGATGGGAGAACTGACCGAGATCGGAGCTGGCCCCATGGCTGCCCAGATCTTCGGAAACGCTGGCAAGGAGCATATGAAGAAGTACGGCACCAAGCCCGAGCACTTTGGCAAAATCGCCTGGAAGAACCACAAGCATTCGGTTAATAATCCGTAAGTTCAGTCGAAAGTTCACCTCACTCGAGCGCTTATCTTATCGCTCGAAGCAGAGAAATAAGTAGTCCGTAGACCATCATCCACTCCAAGGGGTGTGTGCAGCTGATCCACACACATGTCGTTTTATCTCTCCCCCTTTGTTGCTTTCAGCTACTCGCAGTTCCGCGATGAGTACACCCTGGAGCAGATTATGAAGTCGCCCCAGGTGGTGGAGGGCGTGCTGACCAAGCTGCAGTGCTGTCCCACTTCCGATGGATCAGGAGCTGCTATCCTCGCCTCGGAGGCCTTCGTCCGCCGTCATGGATTGGAGAAACAGGCAGTTGAGATTGTGGGCATGGAGATGGCCAGTGATCCTGCATCCACCTTCGCCGACAAGAGCCTAATGAAGATTGCTGGAACCGACATGACCCGTCTGGCCACTCAGCGCCTGTTTGCCAAGAGCGGCTACAAGCCCCAGGATGTCCAGGTGGTGGAACTGCACGATTGCTTCTCCGCCAACGAATTGGTCACCTATGAGGCACTTGGACTGTGTGGAGAGGGCAAGGCCGGCGAGTTCATCGACGCCGGAGACAACACCTACGGTGGAAAGTTCGTGGTCAACCCCAGTGGTGGTCTGATCTCCAAGGGTCATCCTCTGGGAGCCACTGGTCTGGCTCAATGTGCTGAGCTTTGCTGGCAGCTTCGAGGATTGGCCGAAAAACGCCAAGTGCCCAATGCCCAGTTGGCTCTGCAGCACAATCTTGGTTTGGGAGGAGCCGTTGTGGTGG